GCTCTTGACAAAATTTTCTAACCCCAAACCATGAGGGGAGGTCATGTATTTATAGAAAAATGCTTTTTCATGTCAAAAATATATGTAATGAGATAGTTGGTGCAAGGCATGGACATGGGGATAGCTAGTTGCCTCAAAATATCTGCTGTCACTGAACATGGCCAGTCGACCATGAAAGGGGATGGCTGGCCAATCAAAAATGGCTTGCCGGCCACTTGCAGGGCAACTCTTCTCTGAGTGGTTAGGCTAGAAAAAAAAAATTAGGTTTTGCTCCAAAGGGGGTGCGAGGTTTAGGTTTTGATACTTAAAATCGAGGCCTTTTGCTGAAGAAATCGAACGATTGCACAGCGTAACATTTCATCATCGAGCGTTCAACTTGAGGTGCCCAAGTCTTAAGGGCAGTCAAAATAGGGTTTCTACAATTGTCCCTCTTTGACAGAGCTCGAAGTCATGAAATGACGTAAGTGAATATCAGGGCCCGAAGATGACCCATTTGACAAGACTATAAGACTTGGGCAAGCAATCAAAATGTAAATGCAATTGGTCGAACTTGAAAGGTGTCTACGTATCCCTTTACAAGGAATCAAACCAGCGTAGTTCAAGGGCAAGATACAAATGATATGCATAAGAATACATTTTGGAAACTTGACTTACACACTTTGCGAAGCCAATTATTTTAAGAATCCATGATCATGCAATACAATGCAATGAGTAATAACGAGATGTCAGTATATGAATGAAAGAAACCTCATCTTAAATCAAAATAAATCCAACAGTGTTTCACACAAAAAGGAGTAAGCAAAGAGTAAATCTAAATACATTTCACGTGAAAGGAGGAAAGACAGGGTAACTAACAAGCGTATCTCGCCATATTTCATATGAAGAGAGGGAAGGTTTTAACTAAGGAAAACAACATCCTAACGCGTTTCACGCGAGAAGATGAAGGGGTGGTGCAACCAATAGGCGTATCTCACCGTATTTCATACAGAGAGAGGGAATGTTTTAACTAGATGAAAACAATGTCCTAACGCATTTCATGCAAAAGGAGGGAAGGATGGTGTAACCAACAGGCGTATCTCACGATATTTCATATGGAAAGAGGGAAGGTTTTAACCAAGGAAAGCAACATCCTAACGCATTTCAAAGAAGGGAAGGATGGTGTAACCAATAGGCATATCTCACCGTATTTCATATAGAGAGAGTGAAGGTTTTAACTAACTGAAAGATGTGAGGCCAAACTATGTTTCATGCAGAAAGGGGAGGTAAGATAAAAGGTACAAGCCAAACTACGCTTCGCATGAAAAGGGGAAGGGGTACAAGCCATATCACACTCGTGTGAAAAGGGTATATATAAAAAGCATGATGCACATGGATGCAACATAATTGCTGTAATTAATGCAGAATATGATGCCATGTATGCTCCACATAATAGAACATATAACATAATTAAGGATAAACAAAAAGCGGTGGTTTTGAAAACACCTCACAAATGTCTCTGACTTACAGTTCGAAGGTCCTCAAATGCTCAGAAAAGGATGTAACTTGCTTAAGCTTGAGATCAGGGCAATTTTACACTTCGGGAAAATGACAGGACCCAGGACAATGCATTCGAAATGCAATTTCGAAAGCCAAAACAAACCGAAATTCTTCAATTTTCCTTGTTTAGGATGAACACAAGACCCTCCATACACAAAATAAGCAAGATCTTAGCAAAAACACATCGGAACCACTTAACAAGTCCGGCCAACCAACAGATGGGTCGGCAGGCCAAAAGGTTGGACTGTCGACCATCCGATTTGTTTCGGGGGTAGAAATGGGTTTTCACACTTGTGGCTTTTTAAAACATCACACAAGCCTCATTTTCACACACCTTACATTCCGAAAACCTCCCCAAAACCTCCCCCTCTCTCTCTAGGTTCCTCTCTCTCTCTCTAGATTTTCACTTTAGTTGCGTTACCTAATGATCTACGCAAACTATATTCGTAAAACTTATCTGGCCCTCTATGTTTTGAATCGATTGGATTTTGTTTTGGTCGAGTTTTTGGGCTTCTCATTGTTTTTGGCTCATTTTCACGGGTTTTTCTTGGCCTTGGGTACTTTCTCCCAAGTTTTGACTTTTCCCTCTCTTTTTCTCTCTCTTAGGGTTTGATTTTGGGATTTTTCATCTATTTCCCTCATTTTCCTTATTTCTGTCTCTACCCACTACTTTCTCCATGGCGGACGATATTCCACATGATGGTGCCCCTCCTGAGGTACCAGTGTTTCCACCCACTGCGGGTGTTGAGGAGCCGATGATTGAGGAGGCTAACGGAGCAGTAGAGAACATTGCTACCAATATTGCTGCGGAGGAGATCTACCCTCTAGAGCCTGAGCCCGAGCTACCACTATTGAGGGTGAGGCCTTTTGACCCTGCCACCTACCATCCATGCATGCATGTGATGGCTCTCGGAGCTATGCTGTGATTCGAGGACTTCACTCGAGGCGTGCCTGAGGACTTTCTCTTGCGAGAGCACACTTCGCATCTTTCTCACGATGCTTCTGAGATAAGAATCTTTGCTCATTTTTATGCACTTTGCTTGCTTTAATATTTCATTTAGAGTTTTCCATCTACCATGTACTAAACAAATTCTTCTTTCAACACAGGGTGACGCTCTTGCCTAGAAGGGCTATGGGGCAGTGACTGCGAGGAACTGGTACCAGGAGCTCCCCACTCGAGTCAGAGAGTCGGTGGATGATTCAGGCTGTGGCCTATTCTACTCGAGGCTAGCACAACTACAGGCCAGTCGAGCCTTACTAGGTGCTTTAATGGAGAGCTGGTGGGACACCACTAACTCCTTCCACTTCTCCTCCACCGGAGATGACGATGACCCCCTATGACTTCTCTATGATCATAAGGCTACGAATAGGGGGTGATCCGATCCCCTTCGACATTGACATGGGCTAGTGGTAGGCAGCTTGGATCTATTTGCTCGGAGTACGTCCTTCCTTGGACAAGCCGACTATGGTGAGGTACAACTGGTTCTATGACCATTTCCATGGGAGTTAGCTAGAGACTCAGGAGCAGATCGAGCAGTATACCCAAGGCTTCTTGATCTACCTTCTCGGTACCACCATGTTTGCGAACAAGTGGAATACTATAGGCTTGTATTTGTTGAGTGACATAATGGTCCTGTCACGCGTGTACTTTTATGACTGGGGTTGTGCTGGCCTCGCCACCCTATATGGCTACATGAGCTCCAATTCTCGCAAGAAAGAGAACAAGGTCGAAGGCTCTTGGAGAGCTTGAGAGGTACACACTGCACTTTCTACTTCCATTTTTGTTTGTACATTATGCTTTTTGCTTTGCACTTTCTGTCTTTATTTCTGTTTCTTCCTGTATTCTGTCTCTGCCTATTGACTTACAAATTGTTCTCTTTTTGTAGCTCGGGGTATATGCTTGCTTCCTCATCCTTGCCCCGGTTCCACGAGATGAGGTGAAGGCAGCGGTCCCCTACTCTAGGCGATACGATGACAGGTGCCATCTCTGGCGCCGCAGTGTTACCATATTCGCCTACGGCTATCGTTTCTTCGACACACTGACGGCACGCGAGGTAGTCTAAAAGTCATACCCATTCCATTCCATTGCTATTGCTTTGATTCCATTCAATACTCTAGCAACTAACAACAACTGAAAACTGTGAATTCTCTAGATGACATGGCAGCCATAGGTAGTGATGCCGGCTAGGATAAGAGACAAGTACACTGGGTCCTGGGACACCTCCAAGTTACGAATCTTGTTGGAGGGCCCTTTCTATTGGACCTGCTACTTAAAGGAGAGGTTTGTACGCTAGACCGTGGGTCTACCTGACCTCGTCGTTCCTGCTTCTCCTCTACATCGATGAGAATTGCTGATAGTCTACTAGTCGAGGCTATCGTACAGTTTATGGTGGGATAGGACACTGATTACTTTCACACGGCTGGGGATTATATCGAGTTTATCTGGTCCCATCTCATGTCGCCTCTGACCAAAGTCCACGCAGGAGGTGCTACAAATGCTCCTATTGCTAGAGGGGCCACTCGCGTGGCTGAGCCTGATATTGGAGGGGATGCCCCAGCTATACATGTTGCAAGTCTGTCGGTGATCCTGACCACAATCACCTACTGGCGGCCGAGTAGAACAACCCACCAGATTCTGGTTGACTACCCAGAGGAGCGTGAGTACGTCAGGGACCCCAACGTACAGCAGGTATGTACTATGTCTTATAGTTTGTGTTTCACATTCTCTTTTCTGTATACTGATGTTCAAACTCGTTTGCAGGTGTCGGTGGAGTACGTGGACGGCCTCCTTTAGTTTGTCGAGTCCCTGGTCCAGATGGTATGGATGATGGAGACATTATTTGCTCTCCACAATCATCAGGTATCCTTACTTTCCTTATTCATCTGACTGCTCTAATTCTTTTCTTGCCATACTCATACTGATTTTTGCACCAAACTATTCTGATACTCTGTTTCTTGCTTTTAGCCTATGCTTACACCTGCAGCACCAGTGGAACTAGCGACATCTCCTTCAGTTATAGAGAGGAGAAGTAGACAGGATGCTATATGCAACAAGGGCAAGGGCAGAGTTCGGGGCAGAGGTAAAGGTGCCTGGAGTCAGAGTGGAGAGTCTTAGACACAGGAGACTTCCTCATCTTCAGAGCCAACTTTGAATGGAGATGATGTCGAGACCAATGGAGCTAAGGAGATGATGAGTGGGCACTCCAAGTATAGGAGCAGGGAGGATGAGGCTGGTTCCAGGTCAGAGAGCGAAGAGAATGATGTCGTCGTTGAGTCCCACTCCTCTAATGACAGCGGTGCAGTTTTATAAAAACCATGATCGGGATCGAACCTTGCAGTTTTATAAAAGAATGAGTTTTTGTTTTGCGCAACATCTCGAGAATGGCACCAAACTTGCATAAAAAATGATTGTATGGAAAATGAGAATGATGATATTTGAAGAAGTTCGCAACCAGATATTGAGCCTACAACTAACCAAAATACAAAATACAACTCAATAAAGAAAAAACAAAGTAAAAAACATAACACTACTACCCAACTGCCTGCCAGCATACTTGGTTGGCTAGCCACTAGAATAGACGGCTGGCTGGTAAGCTGATCGGCCGACCAAGACTTGCGGCTGGATAGCTGGCAATAGCTGTCAGCCATTCACACAACGTTATCATCTATAAAGGTCTTTTCTTGCTGCTTTTTTGACAGAACTTCATCTTTTCTGCAATTTTCTCTAAAATTGGAGATTTTTCTAGTCGAGAGGCTAATGGATTGGACGTCCACTTTGGATGGCACGAAAAAGGTAAATTTCTGTGGTTTTGGCATAAATGCTCATTTTTCATTGAGTCGCACTCCGCTTTGTTTTCGTTCCTTCATGCCGCTACCTGGTGTTGGGACCCACTCACTCATATGTTTCACTTTGGAACACAAGAGATATGTCCAACTTTCAAAGAGTTTCAAGCATTGATGAAGTCTGGCCGAGAAGATGAGATTATGCCTCAACCCCATTTTGGCCATGCCTGGGCTCTTGAACGAATGTGTGGGTTTACTTTACACGAGGCTCGGTCATTGGCTCATGATGGGGAGTTAGACATACCTGGCTTGATTCATCGATTTTTCGGCATTGGAAACAACGGTGATCTTCTCTGGCAAGGTTATCGTTAACACGCCCTCTGCTTATGTTTACTTGCACATTTCCTACTTGCCCCTAATTGAAGCAAAGCTAGTATTAGGTTGATCAAAATTGCCCAATGCCTGAAGGAGGGTGAGAGTTGCATAGGTTTGGCATTAGCCGAAACTTTGGTGGGTTTGGATGCTTTCCATCGGTGGGAGACTTCTCAGTTTACGGGGAGTCCACTGCTTTTTCAAGTATTGTTTCCCACCCTCTCTTATTTATGATTTCTTACATCTCTTTGGTACTCACTCTCTATTTTCTCTCAAAGCCCTTTTCTTACTTTTCCCTCAACGTACATCTATCTATTCTTTAATCTCTCTTATTTTTCATCCCTTCCCAGGTGTGGTTGATAGATAAGATGAAGGTCGTGGACCCCTGCCTCGAGTATTTGGCTAGATCCTACTTCTTTTTCCCGCGGCTAGTGGACTTTCCCACAAAGGGACTGTGGTGCGACTAGATATGCAACAGATCAGCGGCTAATATTGCTTGGCATTGCCCTTGGCTTAATTTGATTGAGATGAGCTACAGTATGTCTCACTAACTGGGTATACAGTTGATCATCCTTACACATTATGTCTTCTACTTCCCATTCCGGTTTAGATGCCAGTTTAGGCGTCATCAGACCCGTTCAAATGAGGGGGTGGAATACCCTGCACCATTTCCAGTTCATGCTTTGCACTTGGCTCGATACCTCACAACTTGGAGGACGAGAGTGCTTCTGGCCCTTGCTACAAGCTTTAACTACATCCTTTCTGGTGAGTGCTTGGCTTGGCTCGAGAATGAGACACAGGTTGCGGGTAAGAGACAAAGAACCTGACTTATCTGTTCCCCTAGTTTATTGCTTTGAATTTTCTTTTCAAGTGTTTATGATGTAAAAGCAACTTTGATTTAACCTGAGAGTCGGAGAGTGTACTTGTGTTGAAATCATGTAATTAAAGTTGTGAGTACTGAAAATTTTCTTTTTCTTCCAAAGAATGGTTTGTGTTGCAAAAATTGAAATTTTGAGAAAATTAACTTCATTAAAACTTTTTAATTTTCACAAACGGTCACTACCTGGCACACATGGAATCTATCCTCAAGACATACATCCCTTAAATCAAAAAGATCATAACTACCCACAATTGCATTAACCATCACTGCTCTATCTTGCAACTGGTCGTTCTACCAAATAGAGGTAGCACAACCAAGATAACAGATGATGCAAAAAAGATAGATTGATCAAACAAATGGAGAGGACAATTGAGCCAAAAAAGGTTATGGCCGAACTTCAAGATGAAATTGCCTATGTATTCAAAAGATGGGAATTAGGCCTTACGTAGTTCGGTTAGGGTTCCCTCGAGTATTTACTCTCTCTTTTTGCACTCTAACTTTTGCCAAAGCCGCCCTTTCGGGTTTTCAACCTTGTGAGCTTTATTTTTCTTTATTTCGAATTTTTCATTCTCTAACTTTTTGCCTAGGTCGCCCTTGAGACAACTCCAAGATATCCATATCCATAAGGATGATTGCTTCTCCAGACCAAATAGATTTGATGATGTAAAGACCAGTCCAATTGGGTCAGAACTTGCCCCTAGGGTCATGGATGGGAGCTCGGTTGTCTTTGAGCACCATATCTCCTTCATTGAGGTTTCTAGATTTGACTTTCTTGTTAAAGGCCCTAGCAATTCTGCGCTGATATCCTTAGATGTGATACAATACCTTCAACCTTCTTTTATCAAACAACATCAATTCTTTGAATCCGTTTTGCTGCCAATCTGCCTCTGTTATTTGACACTCGGCCATGATCCTCAGTGACGGTACTTCAATTTTGATTGGCAAAACAGCTTTCATCCCATATACCAAAGAATAGGGGGTTGCCCCTGTGGATGTTCGAATTGACGTTCTATAACCCCAGAGTGCAAAAGGTAGTTTATCTGGCCAGTCCTTGTAGGTCTCTACCATCTTTCGCAGGATGTTCTTGATATTCTTATTTGCAACTTCAATGGCTCCATTGGTCTGTGGCCTATATATTGATGACTTGTGAAAAGTCATGTTGTATTTCTCAAGCAAATCTACCACCTCATTCTTGAAGTGTGAGTCATTGTCTGATATGATCTCATTTGGCACTTCATACCTGCAGATGATGTTATTTCTGATGAACATGGCTACATGTAACACTTTGAACACTGAGTACGACTACGCTTCCATAGACTTGGTAAAATAGTCGATCGCCACCAAAATGAACTTAGGTCTATTTGAACCCTTTGGCGAGACTGCTCTGATGAAGTCAATTCCCCAGACTAAGAAAGGCCATGGTGAAGTCATGTTGTAAAGCTTTGACAGTGGGATATTCATGCAATTAGCATGGATTTGACACTTGTGGCATCGCCGAACAAAGTTGATACAATCCTCCTCCATGGTTGACCAATAATAGCCTTGCATGAGGATCTTCCTAGCTAGCATCACACTATTCATGTGTGCTCCACACTCCCCTCCATGAATGGCCTCCACGAGATCATTTCGACTCTTCTTCTTCAACGCAGAGCTTGTGCATTCCCAGATGGCCTCTCTTATACAGCTTACTTCCGCATATGATAAACTAAATGGCCAGATGTTGTATTTTCCGTTTATCCTTGGCATTTGCCCCTGGTGGATACGCATCATTCTCTAGGAAGTTCCAAATGTCATAATATAAGGGGTTCTTGGCTTGAACTTCGTCTATTGTGGCTATTATCTCGTAAGTAGGCGCATACTTCTGTTCGATGATGATTGAAAGCATCTTAACCTCGAGAGACATGTCTACTATGGAGGATAGAGTTGCCAGCACATCAACAAACCGGTTGTTCTCTCTTAGCAGATGTGCGAATGCTACTTTTTCAAACCTTGTAATCAGAATATCCATGGTCTGATGATAAATTTTCATTTTCTCTTCCTTGACCTTCCAGTCCCTATTGGCTTGAGAAACAACCTGGTTTGAGTCTTCGATGACGTCCAACCTTATTGCCCCTAGTTTTAGGGCAGCTTCTAGTCCAGCAATACACGCCTCGTACTCTACTTCATTGTTAGATACTTTGAATTGGAGTTTGAAAGGTAGGGGTATATGGGAATCATCGGGTGCTATAAGCAACAAGCCTATCTCATAACCGTATTGATTAGCTACTCTATCAAAGCACATTGTCCACGTCTCTTCTTGTACCTGCAGAATCTCCTCATCTGGGAACAGGTACTCTACTGCTTCATCTCCTTCCATTGGGTGGTCAGCCAAAAATTCTGCTACTACCCTCCCTTTGACTGACTTGTAAGTGACGTGCTTGAGGTCAAACTCGGAGAGAAGAAGAAACAAACGAGCTAGCCTACTCGTAAGTGCTAGTTTCTCAAAGAGATATTTGATGGGATCTAATCTCGAAACTAGAATTATGGAATGAGCTAACAGGTAGTGTCTCAACTTCCTAGTTGCCCGAACCAAACCTAAGCAAGCCTTCTCCAGAGGAGTGTAGTAGGTCTCGTAATCCAACATCTTCTTGCTCAGGTAGTAAATGGCCTTCTCCACCTTAGCTTCTGATTCTTGTGCTAGCATGTACCCCATGGTTGACTCTATCACTGACAGATACATGATTAGTGGCTTTCCCAGCTCTAGCGGTGACAATACGAGCAGATTCTAAAGATACTGCTTAATTTGTTCGAAAGCGAACTAGTATCGATCATCCCATCGGAACTTTTTCTCTTTTTTCAAGAGACCAAATAGTGGTTCACAAGTCAAGATTAATTTTGAAATAAACCGTCTTATGAATTGCACTTTGCTCAGAAAGCTGTGCACCTCCTTTTCAGTCCTTGGTGGTATTTCTAAGATTGCCTTGATCTTGGATGGATTTACATCAATTCCCCTCTGCGTAATTAGAAATCTCAGCATTTTCCCCGTTGTCACCCCAAAAGTGCATTTTTGTGAGTTCAACTTGAGTCTGTACTCCCTGATCCGTTCAAAGAATTTTTCCAATGTGGTGTAACGACCTTCTCGCTCTTTGAATTTTACAATCATGTCATCCACATACATCTCGACTTCCTTATGGATCATGTCATGCAAGATTGTGGTTGCAACTCTCTGATATGTTTCCTGGGCATTCTTCAACCCGAATGGCATAACTCTGTAGCAATTGGTACCCCATGGCGTACTGAATGCAGTCTTCTTTCTGTCTTCAAGTGCCATTAGGATCTGGTTGTACCCCGAAAACCCATCCATGAATGATAACAAGGCATGGCCAGTGGTGAAGTCTACTAACTAATCAATGTGTGGCAATGGAAAGTCGAATCCCAAAAGTAGGCACAAACACTGATTTTGCTATCCTTCTTTGGAACCGGAACAATGTTGGCCAACCAAGTCAGATAATCAGATACCATCAAGAATCCCACATCGATGTACTAACTAATCTTTAGCGCCCAATCTAGATGAATTATGCAGATTTTCTGCTTGACTCGTTAGGCCTACAATCTCAGGATCGATTCTAGGCATGTCTTCGTAGAACCATGCAAAAACATCTTTGAAATATTTTAATAAAGCAGTTAAAAGCTCACGTTCCTCCAAAGATAATGTGGACCCAATCTGGACTAAGCGTGGATCTTTCTTAATACTCACGTTAATTGCAATAATCTCATCTAAGTAGGGCTTAGCACGCCTCTCCTCATCTTGGTCAATCAAGTTTTTCAAAGCCTGAAGAATTTCTTCCTCTTCGTTTTCATTAAAATTTTGAAAATCTTGGTCAATACAATAAATTAACGGCACAGAGAAGTAAATAGAAGCTGCAGCATTCTTATTTAGAAGTTTTGGCTCTTCGGTTACAACAGACTCAAAAGAAAATACAAAAGAGGACCTAGACAGGACCTTGGCACCAGGGTTACCACCTCCAGGAGTACGAGACTCAAACTTTTCAGATTGACTTGAACCAAATTCTGACTCAACAGACCCGGTGGAATCAGACTAAGGCTTATCATCCAATTCAGAACTGGCAATAAAGCCCTTCTCCAACTGCCAAGTGAGGCATGGCACCCTCAACGCATCCAGAATGAAACTAGTTGAGTCCATAACCGGTTCCTCTCTGATCATAGAAACAATATAGGTATCTTCCAAGTTCTTCGTACTGGTCTTAGGATCAGTCAAGAGATCAGCCAATACAGCTCCTACTCCTGCCTCCCTGTTGTTTGAATTGTCATCTTTACTCTAGCTAGCTTCGATACTTGAATCAGCCCCCTCTTCATCACTATCTTGAAGTTGGGGGTCGAAAAATATTTCAAAACCTGGGAAATGCCTTTTCGTTAAGGAATCGACCCAAGGCTTAAGAAAGTCACATAAGGGGAAATCCTCTCCTTCTCTGACAAAGCATCCATTCAATGTTCCCCAGATTGGCCTGTGAACCAGCTCATAGTGCTTCCTGACCTTCCTAGCCTTGGTCCTTTCTCTCATTTCTTCTCCCTTCCTTTTCCAGTCCTCTTGGGTAGGTACATAGCTGTAGCTCAACTTTTTCGTACCTCCTTTCGGAAGTTCAAAATAAGCCCTACAGTTCAGACTCCTACAGTTCTAAATCTAATCTCACAAGTGCAATGTGAAATTGATATACACCAAAGAGTCCAAATCCGGCAAATTTTTTGGAAAACAAATTTTGAATCCAAAAAAAATGCCAAAATTGGACTATTTTTCCAGATACAGAGTCGCCACCTAAATATTTTGTTTTGAAAAAATTCAGGAAACCCATGACTCGTGCCAAAGGCCACGTGTCCGTCATCACCAAGATTGTCTCGACTCGGAAACTTAGGTATGAGACGGAAAGGTCATGAATACATTTGAGCACCCCTGCTTGCCCGATCAAAGATCGGCCTCTACTAATCATGATATGAATCTTATGTACATTATATGCTCTTGTTCTGGTTTATTAGGCTAGCATTACTATGTGATGCGCACACACACAAGTATAGAATAACTTTGCAAGAATTGGAATACTTGAGTCTTGTTTGTTTTGAAAATAGTTTCGAAATATGTACCACTTGAAAAAGTGATCGCATATGAACATTGCTCAAATTGTTTCGAAATATGTACCACTTGAAAAAGTGATTTATCAATCTTACATTGCACTTTGTGAGATTAGATTCAGAATCGTGACAGGTGTCTGAACTATAGTAGCTAAGAACTACAATTCGCGCCCTCGCGCATGGAGCGGAGTTCGGGCAGTCTACAGTTTCTGGCGACTCTGCTGGGGATTTAGAGAACTTGACTCGAACTCATGATATGCTATTTTGTCTACACTTATGTGTTTCTTTGCATTGCATTTGCATTGGTGCACCTAGGACACCGTGTTTTCCGCCTGCTATTCCTGAACGGTTTGCCGGAGGCTTGCTTGGAAAAGCGTGCCATAAGGCTGACCGGCTACGGGCTCTGTCACGATGGGAACACAAACCTCAATTTTTACCGAGGCACCCTTTTGACCATTCGACCTAGTTGCATATCGGAAACTGTAGAGACCATTCCAAACTAGGACAGGTTGCTTACCCGATTATAGGTTGTTTGAAAACTGCTACGAGCATAGTGAAATCGTAGCTCCTGACAAAATAGGACAAGGAAACCCGACCCCACTATAGGGGTGTTTTGGCTCTCACTTGCTTGCTATGTGCTGTTAGGGATGTGTCTCTACAGGAATGTATGTATCAGTTACAAGTCTAAGTATCGGCCTAGGGTATCAGTTTACAGGGTAGAATTTTGGGCAGAATTCAGTAGAGAGCACAGTCATTCAGCTATGCTCGTATTTGTTCTGGTGAAATTAGGCTGAGATGCTGTATGTTTTCTCTTTTGCAAGGTAGTCTTGGAACCATAGCTTCAGAAGGCTCCAATATCCCCCGAGTACACCGGACTTGTGTTGTTAGACTTTGTCAGGTCAGAGATTCAATTCAAGGGCAACCAGTGTTCCTTCGCTGAGGCAAGGCAAAGAAAGGCCAATCAGGGCTCACCGGTTCATCTGATCCGACAGTCACCAGTCACATCACTTTTGTTGAAACTTAGCAGACCGTGATGGCACAGAGTTCAGAAGAAGTTGTGGCCATGGTAGTAGCATTAAACTAGGGAATCGCCATGTAGGGTGAGATCGATGCTGGAATACAACGCCCATCTGGGGCACCTACCCCACATCCAGTCTCGAAACCCCAATCATCTCAAACCTGTGAACCCACTACTTCTGAGCTGATGAGAATGATTGAAGATCTTCAGAGAATAGTGGTGGATTTAGCTTTTGGAGTTTTGGCTCCATCATCAACCACATCGCCTACCGGGAATTTCATGTCAAAAGGCTCCCCAATCTTGGGACAGGTTGCATTAGAAGAAGGCCAATCCCTTGGCAAAGTGGAGGCAGGTGGTAAGAACAAGGTAGGGGCAAGCATTGGTCCCCATGAACACCTTTAGCGGGCTATTGAGTCCTTAAAAGCCGAAGGACTGAACAAACAGCAAGTGCTCGCAGTTGTTGCAAAAACTGTGGATGACACTTTTGCCACTCAGGATGAGAGCACTCTGAATCAAGGGGCAAGCCGAAAAAAGGGATGTCGTACCAGAAGCGTTCCTTTCAGCTCTAATACTATACTCAGAAAAGATCAGCAAACCCAGTCAGTGCCTACCAATCCCTTTGCTGGTGCATCCAGCAAAACTCCACAAACCTCAAAGTACCCACCCCAAGGCCAGAGGGTCTTCAATCCCCTCTACATGACTTTGTCCAAAGCTTTCCAAATCCTTATTGGACAAGGCCATCTCAAGCCCCTGGAGCCGCGACCATTACCAAATAACCTCTCTCCCTCACATAACCTGGCCAATTACTGTGCCTTCCATCAACAAACTGGTCATGACACTGACAGTTGCTTTCGTCTTCGCCACGAAGTACAAGATTTGATTGATAACAGGGTCATCGTAGCACCAGGTCCTGCAAAGTCTATCGGCACTTGATCCGTGAACTTGTGGGGGATAATTTGATGTGATTAGGGGATGAACTGCCTGTGGATGATGCTCAGTTTACTCCAGATGTGATGGATGGCACACACTATTTTGAGCATTTGTGAATGCTGGTTATTTTACTTTCTGACTTGGGTATTGGGTCAGTTCTGTTATGTTGCACTGAGTCAGTCTTTTTATGATGAGTTAGTTAAGTCTGTCTTGTTGTATCGAGCCAGTCCTGTTGTGTTAGAGTTGGGTGATTTCGGGGGTGTTACCTCGGACATTACTGTCTTTTTTTGTTTGTCTTTTTCACTATTCCTTTTGAGTCTGTTTCCATCATTGAGCCAGTTACGCCAGAAGTTCTGAATGAAATGGCAGTACTTTTCACCTACTTCTCTGTGCCTTTAAATCATTGCATTGATCAAAGTTTTTCAAAATTGTTTCCAAAATTGTGGTGAAAACAAAGAGGAAAGAATTTCTCGGGAATTGTAAAAATTTGATCAATTGAGAGAAAGATGGGCATGCTAAGCCCTTAATGAATGAAATCATGTTTGTTAATGTGAGTACCGAGAAAGATCCTGGCTTGATCCAGATTGGTTCTACATTGTCTTCTGCGCGAGCGATTAGTCGCTTTCTTAAAAGATTTCAAAAAATGTTTTGCGCAGTCCTACGAAGACCTGTGTGGAATCGCTCTTGAGATTGTGCTACTTAGGATCGCTCTCAACCTCGAGATTCGACCCCCCTTTGCTTTCAAACCTTGAACCTTAACTCAGAATGTTCAACGGTCAACCGCAATGTGAGGCCTGTGTGGCCAGATTCGAAGCAGCCCTCGACCTAGGGACAGAAAAATGTCAAATATGCTCGAAGAGCCGAAGATGGATCATCTTGCAAATCAATGAAGATCGGCAAGAATGCCAAATCTCAGAAGGGAGGAAAGAAGAAAATACTGTTGAAGGACAACTAAGTTCCTATCCACAACACTAGAGGCAAATTCAGCCCCCATGGAATGGACTCCTGCATCGTCAGCGAACAGCAGTTACTCTCCTGGATTCAGACGGATTCGAGATCTCAGAACCATTTGACATGGACCAAGCTACACTTTTACCCTTGAGGGGCCCGTTGGGCCGAAAACCCAAAAGGGCGACCCAGGCAAAAGTTAGAGCGAAAAAAAAAGAAAAGAAAAGAACAAAAGAGAAAAATGCAAAAAAAAAATGATGATGAAGAAAATGCAAAAAATGAAAAAAAAAAGAAAAGAAGAAAAAGATGAAAAAAGAAGAAGA